GAAGGAATAAACAAGAAAGCGAGTGCGGTTGAGCTGGAGGCCATCGGTGTGGGTTTGGGCACCTCATATCCATGCGAATCTACTATCAATGTGAGCCAGATTACCCGAAGCACATCGTGGTTCCTCTGCCCAAAGTGGACTCCCTGTTGCAACAGCTTCATGCAGAGCTAGGGCACGTTGGGTAAAAGAAAATGGAAGAAGCCGTCGAACAGCGGTTCTGGTGGCCTTGCCAACGCAGAGATATTGTAAACTTTTGCAATAGATGTCACGACTGCCTTCGTGCGAAACCACCGCGGAGACCCAACTGTGCACCTCTACAACCAATTGTGACGTCGCATCGAGACTGGACCTTAACGTGGTGCGACGGTTTGCGTACCTCATTGACCCATTGAGCTATACTGGGTGATGCCTCCGAGCATCTTGAGAGCTACTCCTACCAGGTTGGTCAATGGTGAGAGGTCAGACAAACTCAGTCTCCTGGTCCTCCAGGTTGGGGGTTTAAAATGGGATGGCGTCCATTTCTGTAAAACTAAATCATTGCCACCTCCCCGCTGCCTTGCGGACAGGCTTTTGAGCCAAAGGCTTTGGATGAGGACCCTAATCGTCCTCCTGTCTAGGTCTGGGCGCCCTGGCAGTATCCCAGCCCACATACAAGCATGACATTTTCTTCAAACATAAATTTCATCCTGCATCGGCCGTCGCGCAGATTATCAAGGGTCGCCTTATCTGCTGCATACAGCAGGGCGGATAAGCGAAAGCATGCTACTGCTGGCGCCTCCCTTCTTTCTTTTCCACCTTCCTTCTATAATTCCCAGCTTAATTGACGGCAACCGAAGTGCTACTGGAGTAGAACCATCTGCAGCCACCATCCCACAGCACCTATCGGACGCCTATCGGCAAAAGTTCCTTATAAGGCCACGCTGTCCCGTTACCATGGCGACATTCAACGTCCGCACTCTAAGACAAACAGGTCAGCAGGCTGCACTCGCACGCACCTTAGACACACTGGGTGTTGATGTGTGTTGTGTGTCCGAAACTAGGATTAATGACCCTAACGGGGTTATTGAATTGACTGCACCCGGCTTATCCTCTCGTTATTGGTTGCACGCATCCCGAGACGCCGATGCGGCACTCACGGGTCAAGCTGGTGTAGGTATCATTCTCAGCTCCAAGGCTGAGTCATCGTTGGTTGATTGGATTCCGGTGAACAGCCGTTTATGTGCAGCCCGTTTGACTACATCAGCTAAGGTGAATTCGCGAAGTAAAACAAAACGCTGTTTGTTTGTGATTTCTGCTTATGCTCCCACGGACTGCAGTTCAAATGCAGTCAAGGACACTTTCTATCACGAACTGAACACGCTGCTACGCAGTGCTACTAGTTCAGATATTGTAGTACTTGCAGGGGATATGAACGCACAAGTAGGGCGTCTGAGCTCTTCAGAAGCTCAGCTGGGTGGTAAGTATGGACTTAACTCCGAACGGACTGACAACGGCGAGCGTCTGCTGCAACTGTGTGCGGAGCACCAGTTGTTTCTTACTAGCACTGCTTTTAGACACAGTGAGCGCCGAAGTGCCACTTGGCGTCCACCTGTAGCTGGTCAGCGATGGACCCAAATTGACCACATAGCCATAAGTTGCAGGTGGCGCGGTTCCATTCTGGATTGCCGCTCATACTGGAGTACCTGTGTCGACTCTGACCATGCCTTGGTGCGCTGTCGTTTCTCCATGAACTTTACCGGAAGGCGCACAAAGCGTCTCCCCCGATTGGCAACGGAGAAATTGTCCCAGCCCTCGGTCAGGCAAGCCTATCAAGAAGCACTGCATAGCGAACTCTCGCTGTCTTGTCCTAATGACACTGAACTTCAGTGGAATAGGATCTCGGCCGCTATGCACGACGCAGGAGCATCTGCTTGTGGCACTATCAGTCGTCATCGCACCAGTCACTGGATATCCGAGAGGTCCGTGAACCGTTTGGAAGCTAGAAGGCACCTCCCGGCTGGTTCTGAACACAATGTGACCAGACGGGCTATTAGGCGTGAACTAAAGCGGAGCCTACGTGCTGACAAGGAAGCCTGGTGGACCAGTCGGGCTCAAGAAATGGAGGAGGCAGGAGCAGTAGGCAATTACCGGAAGCTCTTCCAGCTAATCCGCACCACTGGTCCGAGGAAACCAGGCGTCAGTGAGACAATCAGGGACAGCGCGGGTGCGCTGATACACAATAATGAGCGCCGTATGGCCCGTTGGGCTGAGCACTTTGAACATCAGTTCAGCTGGCCCCCTGCTCCCGGACCTCTTCCTACTCAGGTGATGCAGGACGAGCCATGGACGGTTAGTTTAGAGCCTCCGTCGGAGGCCGAGGTCCGAAACGCGATCACAGCCCTCAATCGTTTTCGTGCCGCTGGCCCGGATTCCCTACCACCTGCACTATTTAAGGATGGAGGTGAGGTCCTCTGCAAAGCACTGACCTCCCTATTCGAACGTATCTGGAACGAAGAGAGTGTGCCGGCTAATTGGAGCGAATCGATTATAGTGGCAATATACAAAAAGGGCAGTCGCACAGACTGTGCGAACCACAGGGGTATTAGCCTAACGCCAGTTGTGACAAAATTACTGGCCTCGATTATCGTTCGTCGTCTCACTGCAGAACGGGAATCTCGGATTAGAGAAGAGCAGGCCGGTTTTCGCCCAGGACGTGGCTGTATAGACCATATATTTACTTTGCGGCAGGTGCTAGAGCAGCGCCACGCATACCGCAGACCGACAATAGCTGTGTTCCTCGATTTCAAGAGTGCGTTCGATTCAGTCGATCGATCGATTCTGTTCGAAATACTTGCGCGAAAAGGTGTTCCCACGAAATATGTGAACATCCTTCGTGCTCTATACTCGAACACTAGAGGCCGCGTCAGGGTCTATGGTGCCCTATCGGATAGCTTTTCGACTACAAGTGGCGTTCGACAGGGTTGTCCGATTTCCCCATTTTTGTTCAATTTCGTCGTGGATTCTATCATGGAGTGTTCCCTTGCGGAATCTCACGATGTAGGTGTTGAAGTGCTGCCTGGTGAACGGTTAGTTGATCTAGATTATGCGGACGATATCGTCTTGCTTTTCGACAATGTTGAGGCGGCACAATCAACCCTGAATAGTCTATCCAGAGTGGTCCCATTATTTGGTATGCACTTCGCACCTTCAAAGTGCAAAGTGTTGCTGCAGGACCACCAGCCACTCGATGACCCCTTGACGCTTGCTAACGAGGAACTCGAGATGGTTGATCATTTCACTTATCTTGGCAGCTGCATCAGCAATGATGGGCGCATAGAAACTGACGTGAGCTCACGCATTGCAAAGGCCAGAGCTGCCTTCTTGAACCTGCGTCATCTTTGGCGACAGAAGGGAGTTTCCCTCCGTCTGAAAGGCCGTGTATACAAGGCCACAGTGAGGGCCGTTCTGCTTTATGGTAGTGAGACTTGGCCCCTTCGGTCTGAAGATCTGAGGCGCCTTCAAGTCTTTGATCATCGTTGTTTGCGAAGCATTGCTGGTGTCGGATGGCACCAGCGTGTCCGCAACGATGATGTGCGTAGGCGAGTACTAGGTGGTGATGATCATGCTAGCTCGCTAGAACAACAGATAGCACTGAATAAGTTACGTTGGCTCGGGCACGTGCTACGCATGCCTGGTCACCGCTTACCTAGGAGGGCCTTGTTCAGTCTACCAGGTGTCGGATGGCGCAAGGCTCGAGGTGGACAGAAGTTGACTTGGCAGCGGGAAATGAAGTCACTGACGACCAAACTGGGTGCCGTTGGTCCGTCTCGCCTTCCGGGTTGGAGCCCACGTGACTCACCTTGTGCTTGGCTCGAGACTTTACAGGACATGGCTCGCAACCGACACCAGTGGCGCGTCTGCTGCCGTCTCCTAATTGGATTGTCTGTTTAAAGTGTGTTTGGTGCTGAGTTATCTGCAGGGTAATGGCTGATTATGACGCGTGGCAGTGAAAGCCGCAAGGAAGCTGTCTCGCCGATGCCGCCTTATCTTTGCACGATAGCCAGCTGTTTGTGACGGAATGTTGTTAACACAAGGTGTAGGCGCCTTGACCCTGAATGTTTGCTTAGGGCATTAAGGTTTTCAGGTAAGTCCCCCTCCTCTCCCTCTTCTTATTCTTTATTTCATAGTTCCTCATGGTTGTATGGCAGCGAAGCATCAGTTCAAATGGCTGATGTACTGCTGTTGATGATGATGATGATGATGACGGGGTATCCAAATCAAACGGTAGCGATTGATATCATGGGACCCTTACCTATGACGACTCGAGGAAACCGCTTTATTTTGGTCCTCCTCGATCGTTTTACCAAGTGGTGTGAGGCCACCCCTTTAGCACGT